CAGCGGTTCCCAACCTGAGGGTCGGGACCCCCACTAGGGGTCACCAAAGTTGCACGAGGGGGTCACGAGGTAAAAAGATACACACAGAAGGAATATATCTCAGTATTTTATTTACTTCTGTGAAGAAAAGTAAAAGTTATGTATTCATTCACCTCTTGAATGAAGAGTGAAAAGTTTCCCTAAAATCAGATTTAAAAAGCTCCAAGGTTTAGTGTTTCTGCTCCCTCACAGGAATAAAATGTGGAGCCACAACCGAACCCTCAGCATGGAGCAGGTCAACATTTCATTCACACTTTGCAGACCCAAACCAGATCGTGGTCTACAAGGTTGGTGGTGGTGGCAGCGAGGGGGTTGTTTAATAAGCTGTGGGATTTATCTTGAATGCCTCCTTTTTTTTTATTGCCTAATTCCTGAATCCTCGTGTGGAGAAGTTGGCTCGGCTGCAGCGAGGAGAGACCTGGTCCAGATCCAGAACAAAGACTCTTTTGTTTCTGTGGGACAGAAACCAGGAGAAAGTCAGAGTGATGGATCTGCACCAGCTAACTGCGTGTTTTACAGTGTGTGTGTGTGTGTGGGGGGGTATTTATAGGTTTTCACTGAGAGTTAGCGGTCAGTGAGAACGTCCTGCACCCAAAAGGTTGAACACTTAAAACCATAAATATCCGTAAAGGTTAATGGTGAGGAGTCGACGTGTCCTGAGGAGGTGAAGAGCTGCTCGTTAAAAGTTTCTCTGATAGAAGAACGGGCTGCAAATCATCAACACAAAGACGTCACAGAAAGAGTTGTTTAGTGTATAACAGGGTTCCAACTCGTCCTGGAAACACCTGGAAATTTATTAAAATGATCAAACATCCTGGAAATAACTGATGAAGGTGAAACAGAAATCAGACAGTTTGACGACAGGGAATAAAGTACAGAGGTGTTTTTACTGTTGGGTTCGGCTCCGGCCTCCCCCGGACTAAGTCAGCTAATGTTAGACCAGACAATATTCTCTCCATAAGATATGATCCAGTTTCACCCAAATCACTGATAAAGTTGTGTGTTTGTTGTCAGTGGATACTTGGATGAAAAGACATTTGTAAAAAGTTTGTGGGTGTTGTCGTGGGTGCTGTCGATGACAGCATGAAGTGCAACAACACATCCTGTTTGACAGCGAAGCGGAGAAGATCTTTGATTAAAAAGCTGCCTCAGCTTCGAGGGTCTGAGAGGATCGCTCTCGTTTCATCTCTCGTCCCTCGTTTCCTGTGATGTGGAGCTGATTAGTCTGACCTCCCTCACACTCCAGCAGTCACCATCTCTCTTTCATCCTCTCTCTGCTCCTTCGTTTCTCCCTCCGTCTTCTTTCAGCTGTTATTCATCACTTTTTCCTGCTGTCACCAAACCTCCTTTGCTTTAAACGCACTGTAGGATTTAGTGGGTACGTTACTAACTGAACACCACTCGCGTCTGTATTTGATGACCTGGGAATGAGAGCGAGCTGTAAAGTGTGTGGGAGGAACTACGGTGGCCATAAAAGTTGCAAAAAAACAAACAGGAAAGCCCCTATAGCCAGTATTTGATTTGTCTTCTCTGGGCTACTGTAGAAACATGGCGATTCAACATGGCAGACTCCGCCAGAAGAGGACCCGCTCCCTCTGTAGATAAAAACGCCTCATTCTAAGGTAACAAACACACAACAGTTATTATATTCAGGTGATTAAACACTAATGAAAACCTACAAAAAAACAATATTATGTTACATTTTTTCCAATAGTTCCTTAATGTTACACACTGGCCCTTTAAAGTTATTTATTTGGGATTCATTAATCAGGTTTTAAGACTTTGCAGTTAAATTGCAGGAGAAAGTGAAAAGTATGTTATTTTAATACACTGTAAAACCAGATAAGTTAATTAAACTCAAAAATCATTGAAACTGATATATACAACAAAATGTTGTAAGCTAAAAAAATAAAATACATAATAAAAAGTACTTTTTTTTGTTTGTGTTACAAAGTGTATAATAAAATAATTTAAAAAATCAAAAGCAACTCGTCTGCAACTGCAACGATTGTTCAAAAAGTTGCTGTGAGTGGACAAAATTACACAGAATTCACAGGGATTGTTTGGATTTGTGTTAATTGTTCCGATATCGCAGCTTCCTGGTGTTAACTGCACT